ATACGTCACGAAATTGAAGCACGCCACTCGAAATCTGAAATATTTTAATGACTTGCATTATTCAAACCTTGATGTATTGTCATTAAGGCCCGTTTCGTACGCCGTACTTCACATGTGCCGAATACATTAAGAGGAGATTTTTTGTATGTTACGTAACACGCGCGTATAAATATATCACTTGAGGTTATGACTAATTAATTTTCACTTGAGGTTATGACTGATTATTTTTCGATACGTTTCTCAATCGGCAAACAAACTTAAAAAGTATGTTTAGTGCTTTATCTGTAAAATAATGCTAAAATGAAGAGATTTTAGATGATACGCCAAAGAGAAAATGATGTATGAAGTTCAGTAAGTTTTGCTTACAGCCTTACATGGCTGTAAATTTGGCGTCAATTTTAAAGCATCATTGATATTTGTATTTTAATTGACAATTTTTAACTATTATTTTATGTTTCTCAACCGGCAGATGCAATTTAAAAAGTTAGCTAACTGTATAAACTAGAGAATAAAGCTAAAACAAAGTAATTTTGAGAGGAACGCCAAAAAGATTTTAGGTTTTGAGCACTTTTCATTGCAAATACATGACATTGAGAAAAATTGCCTCTTAAAAACAAAAGATAATGAGGCATTCCGGCTCATTATCTGTTTTCTTTAATGTATTCGGCATATGTGAAGTACGGCGTATGAAACGGGCCTAACCTATGTAGTCTAGATGCACGTTTATTAGCATAGCATGACCAGTTGCCATGACTATAGCTTCGCCACTGGGACAACCTGTTACTTACCGGTTTGTACTGGAAAAAATAAACATTGAGGTATCCGGTGGCATTGGGTCGGTTTGATCCACCACAAAATCACCTCGTTTTGGTATAATCTGAGGGTTCGATTGTTCTATAGAAAAAAGTAAGTAGTAAGTAGATAGAAGAATAGAAGAAAATACGAAGTGAACTGTTGTAATGTCTTGCTCCAAAGGTCATGTAAACATACTCTCACTATCTTGAAGTTCCAAATTTGATTTTCTCAGACTAAGTCTTGAACCAGACATTCGATCCTGAAACAGACAACCAACATACAATATCCCATATGAAAAGTGAACTAATGTTTGCGGTGTTACTCTGAGTGTGCATCCACACCGGACAAGCTGAAAAGTTTGCCTGACCACGGTGGGAATAAAACCCGCGACCTTTGGGATACTAGTCCAATGCTCTACCAACTGAGCTACGAGGCCAAGTCGGTTCGAGTGATGATATTTCGGAACTGAGTCTAGTTCCTTCAGCTTGCCCGGTGTGGATGCACAAAAATCACATTCACCCGATTACATAACACCAACACACACGAAAAGTGAAGAAATGTTCAAAGGTTAAAGCGTATTGGGTATTCCCGATATTAAAAGGTTCTTACCGGATCAGGGAGTGCAAGACCATTTAACTTGTTTTCTGACGAAGTCTCATTTCCAACTTTTATCCTGCAATAATAAATTCAAATTGATTTGTCAAAGTTGAAAAGAGCGGGATTTGAACCTTGCCTCATATTATTTGCACCGATGAAAATCATATCAGGGATGGTATGGAGTCACTTGGACAAAAGATAATGATTTTTTAAGCTTTCTAAATTTACTGGTATATTGGGCTTCAAATTCGTACTTTCATATATTTTACAGAAGTTCCACCGACTAACGCTACCTCTCACTGGCTTAGCACGCATCTGATTGGTTAATCGGATATATCAAACACATCTGATTGGTTAATCGGATATATCAAACACATCTGATTGGTTAATCGGATATATCAAACACATCTGAATGGTTAATACTCCCTAATGGTAGTGGAAGTCAAATCTGAACCTCAAGACAAAATAGACAGATTTAGATCGAGGACGCGGACGTCAAAGACGACGTGAAAATGGCGTGGCATATCCATACATGGGCACAACACGCCATTTTCATGTCGTCTTTGACGTCCGCATCCTCGATCTACGACGCGGACGTGACATAAAAACCGTTGCTAATGTTTGGAATCCAGTTTTATTTTGCTTCACTTGTGTCTCTGACTTTGTTTACCAACTGGAGGCCGTAATTTTTATCCGTGAAGTGAAACTGTGGAAATAGTTACAGTTTTTCTTCACGTCTGCGTCGTAGATTTGGTGCATCTTAAGCTCGCTAATCTGTCTAAAAGACTACATTTATCCACTAACGTGTTTCCATTAGGCTCAGGTAATGATGAATGGGATTCCTCCACAGCAAGTGATCGTTTCTTTCTCAATTCTTTTCTTTTCTTCTTTTCCTTCCTTACTCTTTCTTGTTCGTGTTCAATCCGAGTAAGGTTTTCGGCGTCAGCCAAGTTGTCGACAGCAATGGCCAGAAAGACATTGAGTAAAATATCTACGCATTGTTAAGGACTTAACGAAGCACTTAGTCAGTCCTTTAGTGAAGGATTATCTTTACTAAAGGATAGTACTATCATAAGGATTAACGCCCGTATTCTAAAAGCTCACTCAAACTCACACTCAACGTTCAATCTGAGATTCTTTCGAATGTCATTGCTGTTTTTGAATAACTACCATGCGACTACTCACCCACCAGCTATTCAAAAACAGCATTGACACTCAAGAGAAGCTCAGATTAAACCTCCACTCATTGAGTGTGATTGAGCTTTTAGAATACAGGCGTAACACAAGCATTGTAGTCTACTACCGGTTTTTTCAGAAGAAGATTGTGTTTCAGAGTGGTAAGTGAACCTCATCTTCCTAACGATGGCATTGTAAAGATCTTTGGATTGTATTTTATATATTAGAAGGATACAATTTCCAACAATAACAAGAACAATAAAATACGCGATAGCAATGGCAGACCCTGGGTTGCGAATGCCACCGTAAGCACGTATCCCATCATACATCACTGCATTCCAATCTTCGCCTGTTAAAATCTACAGTGGATGAAAGATAAAAGTGTTAAGGCCCATTTCCACCATGGTTTCCACTCAGGAAAATTTTCCGCAAAAAAATTTTTTTGTAAAATGTGATTGGCCGACACAAATTTTCCGTCGGAAAAAAATGTTGAAATTGAAAATTTTCAACTTTTAAACAATGATATTTTCCGAAAATTTTCTGTCCGTGGAAATTTTTCGTGAGTGGAAATGGACCTTTAGGCTGGTCTTGATACGTAGTACCATTAAACTAAAATGCGTAGTTTCTGAAAATATAATGTTTTATATACTTGGAAAACGGTTAGCACTGCAGTCCAGAACGAATCAAAGTTGCTTCTGGGCACTGATGTTTCGTCGAAGTTAAACCTAAACAAAAATAAATAAAATACTAACTAAATTCATTTTGCTTATATTGGATAGCTCTAAAAGCTGTTCTTCTAAAGAGATCCAGTAGGGCCCTCTCAACACTCTGCCGAAAGTCGTGGATTTTCTCCGGGTGCTCCACTTTCCTCCCACGGGGAAAGTTGACAGGGTGAGTTAAACACAGTTGAGATAAACACAGTTAAGAAATTAATATCACAATTGTTGTGAAGATAAAATAGTCCAGGCTATGTATATAATTAGGTAAGTGTAATACTCGATGTAAAGCGCATTTGATTACATCCACATGTAAATTTGCGCTATAGAAATCATAATCATAATCATAATCATAATCATAATCATAATCATAATCATAATTATAATCATAATCACAATCACAATCACAATCACAGTCATAATCATAATCATAGTCATAGTCATAATCATAGTCACAGTCACAGTCACAGTCACAGTCATAATCATAGTCATAGTCATAGTCATAGTCATAATCACAGTCACAGTCATAATCATAGTCATAGTCATAATCATAGTCACAGTCACAGTCACAGTCACAGTCACAGTCACAGTCATAATCATAATCATAGTCATAGTCACAGTCATAGTCATAGTCATAATCATAGTCATAGTCATAATCATAATCATAGTCATAATCATAGTCACAGTCATAATCATAAGTATATGTAGTCAATACCAATTAGGATTGCATACAACTCGATTTTAAAATAAATTTCATAACTTACTTTCCACCGAATGTCTGCATCCCGAGCAATGAGAAAATGACCATGAACAATGCAAGAAGTAACAGTAGACCAGCAATTGACCTCATGCTGTTTAATAAGGATGCTACAAGATTACTGAGCGAGGTCCAGTGCCTGAAAGAAATGACAGAATGAAATTCATAGACATTGTATAACATGTTTGTACACTTTATTTTTGTGGAGGTGGTCCAGCTTCGAAAGGAGTTTAGTCTATGCAGGCGTAGCTATCAACTCTAGGCATAGATACACTAGCTAACTCCACATGATGCCAAGTTGAAAACACGGTCGCTTTCATATGAATTTTTGAATTTGGAGTCATCTCCTTTACACTACAGAGGTATGAAAACCTGCAGCCTGAAAACACCGACCCTGAAAACCGTTTGAAAAAGTATAGTTCTGGCATTTGAAAACCAAGTTCTCCATTTGAAAAGGGAGTTCTGGCATTTGTAAAGGGAGTTTTGGCGTTTGAAAAGGTACTTCTGGCATTTGAAAACGAAGTTCTGGCATTTGTAAAGGGAGTTCTGGCGTTTGAAAAGGTACTTCTGGCATTTGAAAACCACGCTCTGCCATTTGAAAAGGGAGTTCTGGCATTTGTAAAGGGAGTTCTTGGGTTTGAAGCGCCTTCACCTCTGAAATGGTGGGTTCGATTCTCGCTATATATAGACTCATGTGAAAAGAATGAGTCAACGCTCTGCCAAAGTTCGTGGGTTTTCTCTGGTTGCTCTGGTTTCCTCCCACAGGGCAAGTTGACAGGGTTAGGATAAACACAGTTAGGAAAGTAATATCTCAATTGTTGTAAAAATAAATAATCTAGGCTAAGTATGTAGGTAATGGACCTTTCTCCTTATAACTAAAATTTCGATCTAGACAAAAATTTCATCACAGCTTGAAAGAGCGTCACAAAATTAGTAATATTCCAAAGTTTTGTTGCAAAATCTTGTAAATGCGGATAATATAGCCTTGCGAAGTTTGCCGTTTTTCAGTCATTTTGTATTACAAACGGGAAATTGACATCCGATTCGGGTGTTGGGGCTGCAATTTTCCATTTGTAATGCAAAATGACTGAAAAACGGCAAACTTCGCAAGGCTATATTATCCGCATTTTACGAGATTTCGCAACGAAACTTTGGAATATTACTAATTTTGTGATGCTCTTTCAAGCTGTGATGAAATATTTGTTAGAGTTGCCTAGATCAAAATTTTGGTTAAAAGAGGAAAGGTCTATTAGGTAAGCGTAATACTTGATATACACTGTAAAGCGCATATGATATCTAAACTTGCGCTACAGAAATACTAATCATAATCGTAAACCCCCGTTGTTGCTTGAACATTATTATACAACGATGTTTCCTAGTTTGTCCATTAGACATTAAGAAATATTTTACACTTACTTGGTGGCTTTGAAAATCCTGAGCAGTCTTACACAACGGAAGACACTGATGCCTACAGGAGGAAGACCAGTAAGTTCAGTGATGGCCAGTTCCAGCAAACTACCAAGGACTACCTAAGAAATGGAGATACAAAACTATTATTCATAACGAAACACATAAAAAAGTATATATTATACAGTCCACTTACAATGCAATCAAATCGGTTAAACAGCGATCCAAAATAACCAGCTCTTCCCAAACAATATATTTTTAACAGCATTTCGACGGTGAATAATCCTAAGAACACTTTATTTGCTCTGTCTAAAAATAAAATAAAAATTGTAGTTGAGAACAAAGCCTGGTCAAACGAGAATTAGAGTTGATCAGAGTTGACAAGGGAGAGTTTGCATGAGAATTTTCTCAACTCCGATCAAACGAGAACAAAAGTTGTAGAGTTGGCTGCCGGGTAGCAAAAAGTCACATTAATAACGCCCATATATGTAGGAAAATCCTGTATGCTCATGTATCACAGAATATTGGTATATATATGAGCGTGCTTATGAGATACCACAATAAGGGATTCTCATAAGCACGCCCATATATGTAGCAAAATCCAGTATGCTCATGAGCACGGTCAGTATCACAGGATATTGGCACAGAATAGATACCGGACCAGAAGTGTCACTTCTATGTGTTTTGGCTGAAGAAAAACGTCCGAAATTTTTTTGCGTGCTATGACGCCATCCTGGAGTGCACCCGGCACTTTATACCTATGTTTTCCTATGAAAAACTTCCGTGTGCACTCCAGGATGGCGTCATATGATGGCGTATTTTCACGTCAGCACTCGTAAAATTTCGGACAAAATATCGTCTGAGTGACACTTCTGGTCCTGTATCTATTCTGTGATATTGGTATATATATGAGCGTGAAGTGTGGTTATGAAATACCACAATAAGCACGCCATATTATGTACCAAAATCCAGTATGCTCATGAGCACGATATATATGAGCGTGAAGTGTGCTTATGAGATACCACAATAAGGGATTCTCATAAGCACGCCATATTATGTACCAAAATCCAGTATGCTCATGAGCACGACCAGTATCACAGGATATTGGTATATATATGAGCGTGAAGTGTGCTTATGAGATACCACAATAAGGGATTCTCATAAGCACGCTATATTATGTACCAAAATCCAGTATGCTCATGAGCACGACCAGTATCACAGGATATTGGTATATATATGAGCGTGAAGTGTGGTTATGAGATACCACAATAAGGGATTCTCATAAGCACGCTATATTATGTACCAAAATCCAGTATGCTCATGAGCACGACCAGTATCACAGGATATTGGTATATATATGAGCCTGAAGTGTGCTTATGAGATACCACAATATATAAGGGATTCTCATAAGCACGCCCATATATGTACCAAAATCCAATATGCTCATGAGCACGGCCAGTATCACAGGATATTGGTATATATATGAGCCTGAAGTGTGGTTATGAGATACCACAATAAGGGATTCTCATAAGCACGCCATATTATGTACCAAAATCCAGTATGCTCATGAGCACGACCAGTATCACAGGATATTGGTATATATATGAGCGTGCATGAAGTGTGGTTATGAGATACCACAATCAGGGATTCTCATAAGCACGCCCAACTGCATGAGAGTTTGCGGTCAAACGCGAGCAAGAGCTGTAACTCTCATCTTCCTTTGATCAAAGCTTACCAACACAGCTATAAGACTAATGCTAATAGACTTTAACTAGACTCAGTTCCGAAATATCATCAACTCGAACCGACTAGACCACGTAGCTCAGTTGGCAGAGGATTGGACTAGTATCCCAAAGGTCGCGGGTTCTATTCCCACCGTGGCCAAGCTAACTTTTCAGCTTACCCGGTGTGGATGTACACTCAGAGTAACATCACAAACATCATATTCACCTGAGTACATAATACCCAACACACACATAATAATTATACACAAGCTTGTTGCAGACACACTACCATCGCGATAAAAGACGCACAATGAACAAGCAAACTTTTCTTTTGTACTGGTCTACCTACCTAAGAACAAAGTCAGGAAATCAGGCTGTTGATAATGTTCCATAGCTAAGCATAGAGAGTTGAGAAACACCATGACAATCACGGTCCAGTAGAAGGCGTGAGATTTGACAAATTCTCGACAACGACGACGAAAACGTTTGTGGCTCTTCTTGAATTGCTTTCTAAAAGGAAGTGAAACCTTTATGCCTGTATTCTAAAAGCTCATTCACACTCGAAGAGTGGAGGTTCAATCTGAGCTTCTCTTGGGTGTCAGTGCTGTTTTTGAACAGCTGGAGGGTGAGTAGTCACATAGTAAGGTACGACACTAATCTCCAGCTATTCAAAAACAGCATTGACACTCAAGGGAAGCTCAGATTGAACCTCCACTCTTTGAGTGCGTGTGAGCTTTCAGAATACAGGCGTTACGATGTTATGTACTTGTTATTGGCTTCTTTGTGGTACACGAATGTTTCTGTGTGCTCCAGATCCTAAAGGAGTTTAGCTCGGGAATGGATTTCATGCAGATGCACTGAGGAAATGTATACGCTCCTCACTACACCCTTCGTGGAGGGCGCAAACATGGTTAGTTTATCGCTGTACCTCTTTTTAGCAAACCAGGATAATTCCTCGGGTACTGATTGGTTCTCATCATTGAGATCGTCCGCGAGAGACTGAGATCCGTGCGGAGTCCTCGACACTAAATTTAGAAGTGTAAAAGAAATTTCACATCATATAACATGAAGTATACAGGACATGAGACAGCATATGCTTACACGTGATGTGACTGCCACGTGGCTCGATTTCACTTTCTTCGTCATCCGGTAAATCGTCTAGAAATTTTAACAAATATTTTCATTAATCAAAGTTTTCAACAAATAACTAAGAGCGGGTGTGCAGTGTAGGTAGTGTTCTACAATAAGCTGTCGTGGTTTGTGTCTGAACTACCTGAAAAAGATATCTCAAACGCGGTGGTCCAGTGTAGGTAGTATTCTACAATAAGCTGCCATGGTTTGTGTCTGAACTACCTGAAAAAGATATCTCAAACGCGGTGGTCCAGCTGTAGGTAGTATTCTACAATAAGCTGCCATGGTTTGTGTCTGAACAACCTGAAAAAGATATCTCAAACGCGGTGGTCCAGCTGTAGGTAGTATTCTACAATAAGCTGTCGTGGTTTGAACTATCTGCCGAAAAAGATATCTCAAACGCGGTGGTCCAGTATAGGTAGTATTCTACAATAAGCTGTCGCGCTTTGTGTCTGAACTACCTGAAAAGATCTCTCAAACGTGGTGGTCCAGCTTAGGTAGTATTCTACGCACGTAAAAACGCACAAGTTGTAACAAACCTGCAGCAGACTTGTAGCAATGCTGTTCCAACTACTATGTCAACAGGATGTGTTCGCACTGCTTGTTCCCAGCTTGTTGACAAGTTGTCAGCGGCTTGTTGACAACTTGCTACAAGGTTGTTGAGCTCAACAGACTTGTTACAAGTTGTTCCAACAACTTGTTATCGTCTTGCATTTCAACAATTTGTTAACAAGTTGCGAGTGACAACCTTGTAGCAACTTGATCAAATAGCAGCATTGTTACAACTTGTTGGCAAGCTTGCTGCAAGCCTGTTGCGAACACATCTTGTTGACAAGTTGTGAGATTCTTACGTGTGTACAAGACTAAAAAGTACAATTTTCAAAACAGGTCAATGACGTGACAGAACATACCCGCCTCGTTTATCCAGTCAACATAACCATGCAAGGATTCTTCCAAAAGTTGCTTTTCACGGAATTTTTGAAACTCGCCACTTTTCTGAGCACGTTCCTTCTCTTTTGCAAATTCTCTGAAAAAGTACATAAACTCCGTAACACTTATCCTAGCTTAAATTTTATACAATTATTAGACGTAATAAGTTCTTCGTAGGTTTGCATGGCGATAAAACATAGAATACTTTTTGTTTGTGGAAACACCACGTAAATTTATCCGGGCTTGCGGATCGAAAGCTTTGCAGTAATAAATTTACGTGGTGTTTCCACAAACAAAAAGTATTATATCAGACGTAACTAGGAGCAGTTACGAAAACTATAGGCCCTCTGGCAGAATTAAGCAACAACCGGACTCTGTAGCTCAGCTGGTTAGAACGCTGCACCGGAATTGCAGGGCCGCAGGTACGATTCCTGCGAGAGGGCCTATAGTTTGCTTTATATGGACTCATGTGAAAAGAGTCAGTCGACGCTCTGCCGAAAGTCGTGGGTTTTCTCCGGGTGCCACGGTTCCTCCCACAGAGAAAGTTGACAGGGTATAGGTTAGGATAAACATAGTTAGGAAAGTAATATCACAATTGACCACTTGCGTAATAGACTAAATTTTGATCTCAACAAAAATTTCATCACAGCTTGAAAGAGCATCACAAAATTAGTAATATTCCAAAGTTCCGTTGCGAAATGTTGTAAAATGCGGAAAATATAGCCTTTCAGTCATTTTAGATTATAAACGGGAAATTGACAGCCCCAAACCCTTCGAGGCTGTCAATTTCCCGTTTGTAATCTAAAATGACTGAAAATTGAAAATTTCGAAAGGCTGTATTTTCTGCATTTTATACAACATTTCGCAACAAAACTTTGGAATATTACTAATTTTGTGATGCTCTTTCAAGCTGTGATGAAATTTTTGTCTAGACTTGTTTAAATCAAAATTTAGTCTATTATGCAAATGGTCAATTGTGGTAAAGATAAAATAATCTAGGCTCAGTATCATAGAATAAAGATCCACATAGAAGGGCAACTTACGTCGGAAGCTTTGAAGTTTTTGTCCTCGCGCATGTCGCATTACGCATGTTGGCCGCCATTTTCCTAGCCAGTCAATGACATTTTCTGGCCAATAAACACGCTGTACT